CTCTCAACCACTACGCCAGCAGGGAAGCCCACGTTCATCAATTTTTAAAGCCTACTACACTATGCTAAATCAAAAGAGCATTTTCTTTTTTCTGCATCCCATTTCCTTCTGAATTCACAGCTGTATTTCCTACCTTGCCTCATTTATTCGTTCACTCACTCAGCCACTGGGTTTTGAGTGCCTATTCATGATACAGGGCTGAGTTCTCAGGGGAGATGGGCACAAACTGGGTGTTCCAAAGCAAGATGGTGAACGGAGTGATAGGGACATGGACAAGCATGAGATGGGGATACGAGGGTGGGGGTGGATATCTTGCTGTATTTACATTCTTCACTTGCATCTTATATTTTTACTAGTAATACTTAAAAGCTAAAAGATTAAAATCTCTCCTACATAGTTCTGCTCTGTCGTTGAGAGATTACTGCAGTGGTGGTGATGTCCAGGGCTATTAGGTGGTTTTGTTTTGGATATTTCTCTCTTACTGGTGAGCAGTTAGGGGAGAAGGTAAGAAAAGGGAAACGTAATTTTTCAGCTTGTGCAAGATTCTCCTTCTGCACTCACCACAGACTTCCTTGGTTGAAGAAAAATCGACTCTTGGTGCCGGGCTCCAGCAGAGCCCCTCGGTGTTGGAGCCCGTGGCTGTAGGTGGGGAGGCTGCGTCCAAGCCGGCCAGCAGCGTGAAGCCTGCCTGTCCAGCCAGCACATCTCCTTTGAACTGGCTGGCAGACCTGACCAGCGGCAATGTCAACAAGGAAAACAAGGGTGAGTGTTTCCTGCCTCCCTGAGAACTTTCGTCTGTTCCCAGAGGGTCCTGGCAGCCTTAGTTACGGTGAGAACAGAGCGGTTAGAAGTAGTGTGGAGCAGAAAGTGGTTCCCTGTAGTCGCCCTGAGACCTGACACACATGCAGCGCCAGAGAGAGAACTTCTGCTTACGATAGAACTCTAGGTAAGGTTGAGATTGTGTCTGGCAAGAATGGAGTGGGCTGAGACGTGTGTGTTTTAATAGTGATCTTTGCCTTTCTGCCTTTAACCCTGTGTGTATTTCCTATTTTGTCTAAGTTGCAACGTTCTGGCTTCAGCTTTACTTTTTTCATCTGTGCTGTTGTCTCAGGATGCTTGATGATAGTATAAAGAACATGGGTTTGGAATCAGGTAGTTAGATTAGGATTTTGGTGATTCTGCTTTCTGGCTGTGTTAAAGAAAGGAAAATTGCAGATCAGTTTCTTTCATGCAAAGATCCTAAACAACATCTCAGTGAATAGAATTTAGCACTATAAATAAAAGAATCATACAGGGTGACCAAGCAGAGCTTCAGAAATGCAGCTGTAGTTTTAACATTAAAAAAGCGGGGGAAAAGTCATGTGAAGAGATACAGAAAAAGAGTAAAATTCAAAGCCTATTTATAATTTTTTTTTAAAAAACCTTAAATTAGGAATAGAAGGGAACGTCCTTAATCTAATGAGTTTCTACAATAAAACTAACAACAAACATCCTAAATTATGATTGAAGTTTTTCATTCGTTGAATAATTTTTAAGTTTCCCTCTGTGTTCAGGCATGACACAGGATTCCTGCTTTCACTCCTATATTGAACATTGTATTGGAAGTTTTAGCTATTTAAGTCAGTAAGGTAAACAGACAAAGAGATGTTAGGATTGGAAAGAAAGGGATAGAACTGTTGGTATTTTTAAGCAATCTAATTATACATGGGAAAAGTCTTAAGAGAATCTGTATTTGTAAACATATCTATCAGGGTTGACAGTTCAATGTTAATTTACAAAAATCAATTGTATTTTGTGTACCAGGAACAAACAAATAAAAAATGCAGTTTACCATAGGATCACCTTGGATATTATTGGATATTTATTTTTTTTAACAGCAGTTGGAAATCCATGTCTAAATCAGTAATGTCATTTATCCTCTTACGTTTTTTGGGTTCTAGTAAATGAAAACCAAGTTCCAGAGTAATTCTGTCAGTAGAAGGCTAGTAAGGGATTTGCCTTTTCAGAATGCTTTTCCACCTGGATGTTTTTGATTTGTTTTTAGAAAAACAACCAACGATGCCAATTTTAAAGAATGAAATCAAATGCCTTCCACCCCTACCCCCCTTGAGCAAATCCAACACAGTCCTCCACACCTTTAACAGCACAATTTTGACACCTGTAAGCAACAACAATTCTGGTTTCCTCCGAAATCTCTTGAATTCCTCTGCAGGAAAGGTACGCATTTATTTTGTTGTTTATTACTCCACCTTGTAAAGAAGAATTGGAGTTAGAGTAGGGAGAAAGTGAAATAGAAAGCAGAAAGCCGGATGAGTCCCATGCTTTCCTTCGTGGGTACAGAGGCTGCGTCATTGGCACATGGGCTTCACAGGTTAGAATTCTGGGCTGGGTCATTTTCACCTGTTAACACTTTTTCCTGTACCCACTTCTGAGGGTTGTGATGTCAGGTAGAGGAAGAGGACTTACCTTTTTGAGGGTAAGATTCTTTCGTGGCTTAGCTTCTTTCCTGGATATGTAATGTACGCTCATCCTACCATAATAGGAATGGGGTTTTTGATGGTAGGAAATGACATATTTAAGACTCGTGGTTGTTTTTTTTTTTCAAATTCAGACAGAAAATGGACTCAAGAATACACCAAAAATCCTTGATGACATCTTTGCCTCTTTGGTGCAAAATAAGACTTGCTCCGATTTATCTAAGCGGCCGCAAGGACTGACCATCAAGCCCAGCATCCTGGGCTTTGACACTCCTCACTACTGGCTGTGTGACAGCCGCCTGCTGTGCCTGCAGGATCCCAACAGCAAGAGCAACTGGAATGTGTTCAGGGAGTGCTGGAAGCAAGGGCAGGTAAGCGGGGCCTCTGCTTTCCAGCCCACTTCACATCCCCGTCTTGGTGCCTTTGGTAGACTCCTGACAACCCCCCCTCCCCTGCCCCCTTCCTGGATTATAAATGGCATATACTTTATCTCTTTTTATCGTTTACTGTGAATACAATTAGAGCAGAGTGTGGCTATGCGTCACAGACATTCCTGAGCTGTATTCTGTATTCTCTGATGAGGTTTTGATTGCTTCCAACCAGTCATCCTTGGATTTTTGATGAGAGCATTCTGGGCTCTTGGTGATTCTTGTGTGATAAACTTCAATAGGAGAAGTGGGAATATGACTACGGCTGGTGGGGTTTGGGGGATTACACAAAATAGGATAAAAATCAGGCGTCCCTCTTCCATGAATTAGAACCTTGTGCTGAAGACAGTCTTAGGTGGCCCTGAGCCATGTGGTGTCAACCTGGAATTGGTGTGTAGTCTCCCAAGGGAAGGAGCCTGCTTTTTAAAGGGCAGCGATGTTCAGTCTTAAGGTTTGGTTGATAGTTCAGGAGATGCGTGGCTTCGCAGACCTGCTCCTCTGCCTTCTTGTTTTGGTTCATGTTTTCTGGATCTTTGTCTTCTCTGCTGGGCCAAATGGAGTCCTCAGTAAAGGAACACTTTGCTCTTGGACAAGGCCAGGACTTGGGGAATTGCCAAATAGAAAAATGTATGTATTTAACCAAAGAAAAAATTATTTTTTTCAGTCCTGTGTTCTAACGAGATTTGCTCTGACAGACCGAATACAGTCCACCAGCATGTTCTGTTTAGATTAGATAATGTTTTTTAAAAGTTGAACTTGTTGCCAGTATTTTAGTCAGGCTCTTTCACATAAAGATCAGGATTTGTGGCTTGTCTTGGATAACCAAAGACGTGGCAATCCAGGGCCATATCCCTGCCTGCTAACAATGAGCTGCAGGCCAGAGGCAGCATCCTCTTTGGACCGGGCGCTCTCGCTGCCTTTGTCTCTGCTTCACATCCCCTGCCCAGCCCTGGGCCTTGGCATTGGTATTCTGTGAGTAGTGGGATCTGAGTTGGAAGGTGTGATCCTTGCTCTTAGAAGCTCACTAGTGTAGTTTGAGGGGTGTGTGTAGCAGGTGACTCAGGGGACTAAGCTGTCACTTTGGTATCTGAGACTGGGGACCAGCCACAGAGAAACACGTCAGCAGCTGTTTGAGGAAGGGCTGCCTCGGGTGAAGGGACGGAGCTGGGGGAGTTCAAACTAAAGTCTTCGTTCTCTCCTCTTAGCCAGTGATGGTGTCAGGAGTGCATCATAAACTGAACACTGAACTCTGGAAGCCGGAATCCTTCAGGAAAGAGTTTGGAAATCAGGAAGTTGACCTCGTTAATTGCAGAACCAATGAAATCATCACAGGAGCCACAGTAGGAGACTTCTGGGATGGATTTGAAGATGTTCCGAGTATGTATTAAAGACCTTTTAAGGGGGTTGAGGATGTGAAAGGAGGGGGCACGGGAGTAGCAGCAGTCTGTGGCCCTCCAGCGGCAGCGACAGCATTTTCTGTGACTCTGGAGTTTAAAATCAGTGTCTTATCTCCTCTTCCCCTTTCTTTTTACAAAGTTTATGCTTTTGAACTGAGGCAAATTCGCTTCGTAGTTCCTTAGAGAGTGAGGTTTTAGTCACCTCTTCTTCAGGTGGCTTCAGGTCTGTCCTGTGACAGAAACGTGCCCAAGGGGAGGGGAGCACAGAGCCAGGGCTTGTGACTCAAAGCTCGTGGTTTTATGTAGCCTCTTTATTTTTTAAAAAATTGAATTATGTTTAACAAGATAAGTAGAACTGAAAGTGCCAGGGAACGTGAATCCGTTGAACGCACGTTATCCTGGTCACTGCCTGCTTCACCTGGGCGAGGGGGGATGGTGGTGGTAAGGAGGCTTGAGTGTCTGGTGCTGAGCTTGGGCCCTTTCCGTGCATTGGCCAGTCAGTAAACTGTTTGCAAGAACCCCTTCGTCAGCACAGGCACCTGGCCTCATGCTCCCACCCGCACTGGAGGGCTTGGCCAGTTCATTCTTATTAGACTCAATAATTCAACTTTGCTCATTTATCATTCTCATTCTTTCACGACATATTTTTACCTTGTGATCTCCTGCTTCCTTATTTCCCATTACCCACGTTTGCAGGTTATGGCCCGCACTTTCAACGAACTTTAGGTCAAAGGTATAGCTAACTCTAAGTAGGGCATGATGGGGGTTTCCACACGTAGAGGTGAAGGTTGGGTTTCAGACGTAAGGTGCTTCCCTGGGGATCAACGTCTGAGATGCGGGAGGAAGCAGGACCGGGCTGGCGGAGGGGCGGGCTGCGGCGGAGGCCAGGGGAGCCTCAGCCAGCCTGGCAGGGAGCTCTGTAGCAGGCATCGCCTCTCATTGTCTCAGACTGGGCTGAAGTGGGGAAAGTCAGGGCCTTCATCCCCTCACCTCCCTCGGCCTCCAGGTGCTGGTGCCCCAGGGAGGGCATGACCTGGCAGGACAGCTCTCTGCAGCTGACGCAGACCCCAAAGCCGTGTCTGGGCAGCAGGTCCTTTGAAAGGGGATCGAGGGCCACACGTACTACAGTGTGCTTTCCAGTTAGGCCTGGGTTCAAATCCTGACTCTTGATGTGTACTTGCTGTGTACGTGAGCTTGGTAATTGCATCTTTCTGGGGCTCACACTTCCTCATGCCTGCAAATGGTTAAGGCAGCCCAGAGTCCACCGCAGCCTGCCTTTTCCATACTGATGATCCTGCTGCCCAGACCCCCCGGTACACCACCCACGCTGAGACGCCACTGGTGTCCAGAACATACACTGTACCCGTATTTTCCTGTGTTTCTTGTCTCCTGGAGTGTGCACCTGTTCAAACTAGGTTATGGGACTCGGTTGACTACAGGACGCTATACAAATGTTAGTCCTCATGAATATAAGGTTTGAAACTGGGTTCCAGTTTCAGTTCTGCTGTTTAATTTCAATAGCTGGATGGCCTCAGGCATATGTCAATTTCCTCATCCAAAAGTAGAAATATTAAATAGTGCCAGATCTCACTGGGATGTTGGATTTAGTTATAAGGACTAAATGGTTGAAACACTTGAGCAGAGACTGGAACACAGCAAGAAGTGAAATAATAGTTATCGTTGCTGTTAATCATAATTGTCAACATATTTTTTTCAATTAGAGCTCCTTGGTTCTTGGTTCCTTCACATTACCTGCAGTGGGTAACTGTGCTATTACAAAAAAATAGTTCTGACTGAACCCTGTATGTGTCACCTAGAAGATGGGGAGGCGGGGGAGAGTGGGCCCTATTAGCCCTAGTTGTCCCTGGACAGAACATCAGGTAGCTTCAGTCTCTGAGCAAAGTAAGTCATTTCTATTTCGTGCTGGCCTCAGAAAACTGGGTTTTCTAAAATCTGTGGCCCTTTGATTGTTAAATTGCTGTTCGTTAGTTGGGGGGCTGCTCACTTCTTCTAGAACACTGTATAGGAGGAGATTGGATCTGTCAAAACACCGCCTATGTGGAATAGACAAAAGGGAGTGGCTGAAATCTCAAGGAGTAGCAGTTGAATAAGCATTTAGAAAAGACAGGGCTGTAATACAAACTAGTTGGTGATCTTCAGTTTGCTACCCCTTGCTGCTTCCTGGGTATGAATGGATTTCTCGGCACTGTAGAAATAAAATAATTGGCCATTTGCAGGATGGGAATATTGAAAAATAACATTTGTATACCAGATGTATCAGGTTATGAAGATCTTGCAGAGATAAGTTTTATTTGCATTGTTAAGGCTTAAAGTGCTAATTTGCCATCCATTTTGGTCTGTTTCCGAGTTATGAACAGTAGCAATTCAGTAATTCCGGTTACCTTGCAGACCGCTTGAAAAATGAAAAAGAGCCAATGGTGTTGAAACTTAAGGACTGGCCACCAGGAGAAGATTTTAGAGATATGATGCCCTCCAGGTACGATTATGGGGAGGGGAGAGATGATCCTGTCCTTGACTTGGTAGGATAAACTTTTCTTGAGGTGGTAAGTTGAAGTTACTGACTTTTAAATCTGGCTCACTAGTGAAAACTCACGCATTTCCACTGTAGTGCTCTGCCAGAGAAGAGGCCGACTCAGACGTGCACACACTGATTTGGAGGCAGGAGTGAGATCAGACGTGCTGGGGTTGGGTATAATACAGTGATTACATTGCTTTAGACAAGACAGCAGAATTGCTAGATCCATTTTCCTGAATTGAGCTTGAACCTTGCAGAGAATCCTCAGAACTAATGAATAATATATCCCTTAGTGTCACTACTTACTATCAGGAATTTGTTGCTCAGATTTTTGTCTGCAGTATTCGAGGTCATTTTTTTTTTTTTTTTTTTTTGCTGTACGCGGGCCTCTCACTGTTGTGGCCTCTCCCGTTGCGGAGCACAGGCTCAGCAGCCATGGCCCACGGGCCCAGCCGCTCCGCGGCATGTGGGATCTTCCCCGACCGGGGCACGAACCCACGTCCCCCGCATCGGCAGGCAGACTCTCTACTACGGCGCCACCAGGGAAGCCCTCGAGATCATTTTGATATATATGTGTGATGTAGGAGAGAAAGAAGATGTCTTTGTTCATAAGCACTATAATTCTCATCTTAAATATTGGTTTTTTAAAATTTATTTTCTATTGAAGTATAGTTGAATTACAGTGCTTGTTAATTACTGCCGTACAGCAAAGTGAATCAGTTATACATATCCATACACTCTTTTTTTATATTCTTTTCCATTATGGTTTATCACAGGATATCGAATATAGTTCCCTGTGCTCTACAGTAGGACCTTGTCGTTTATCCATCCTATATATACCAGTTTGCATTTGCTAATCCCAAACTCCCACTCCTACGCTTTCCCAACCCCCTCCCCCTTGGCAACCACCAGTCTATTCTCTATGTCCCTGATTCTGTTTCTGTTTCATAGATAGGTTCATTTGTATCATATTTTAGAATCCACATATAAGTGATATCATATGCTAATCTTAAATGTTGTTAATGATAGCTATCTCCATCTTCACGAGCACAGATATTTTCGTTGTTCCTTTTGGTGTAGAAGGAACAAATCAAATCCCACGATATATTAGAAACACAAGCTTATTTTGCAAATTCACGGTTCTCTTTTCCTAGGTTTGATGATCTGATGGCCAACATTCCACTGCCTGAGTACACAAGGAGAGATGGCAAACTGAACTTGGCCTCAAGGCTGCCAAACTACTTTGTTAGGCCAGATCTGGGTCCCAAGATGTATAACGCTTATGGTAAGGAAGAAATGGCTCACTTGAAAAAATTATTACAGAAGTAAGGCAAGTCAGAATGTTTGGAACATTGATTTTTGGGGAGGGAGAGATGGAAAACTTCTATAACCCTAATCCTTAACACAGCAGTGGTCTTCATTTTTGCATATTTCCTTTCATTCCTTGGCCACGTGTATGTATATTTCCGTTTCATAGTTGCAGTTGTAGGGCATATGCCGTTTAAAAGGTTTCTCCTACACCTAATATTATACAGTAAAATCTTTACATGTTGCTTAATGGTTTTTAGTGTGATCGTTTTTAACGGTTGCATGGTACATAATTGAATGAATGTAATTTTATTAATTGTTTTAATGTTGCCGGACGTTTAGGTCAGTCTGCTAGCACTCCAGCTGTTTCAGCATCTACTACTCTTAAATTCAATGTTCTGTGTTGGTGGGTAGTAGTTAGCTACTTAAGCTAGTACTGAAAACACCTTGGAATTGTATTTCTCCGATTTATTTCCTTCCTCCCATAATGATCCCAACTCCAGTCTCTCAGACTTGAGGGTGGCAGGCCAGAGTCTTCTGGCAGCTTTGCCACGTTATCCAGATGCTGTTGGGAGAGGGAGGGCTTGGACCTCAGCCCCCCACTTCTTCTGTTCCGGTGGGGTCGCCCGGGGAAGCGCCTGGAGTGAGCTCAGGGGACATTCCAAGAGGGGAGTTTACCTTGGGAAGTTGCCACAGCCTAGATGCCCAGATGTTCCCTTCCCCCGAGCCCTTCAAAGAAGCTGGATGGCTGGGACTTCAGGGCATATTCTGTTCACAGGGAAGATTTGCAATGAATTTACGTAAATGGAGGCATTTTTCCACTAAAGCAAATGGTGTAATGTTGCAGAGTGATTATCCATGCCTTATAGAAATGATGCAGCTTTACAGGGTAGAAGTGGTTATCTGAGAAGTTCTCAAAATAAATAGTCGGCTTGGTTTAAATGGCTTGACAGCAACTCTTTTCCTCCTAGATACTAGCAGATAGAGGGCAGTGTTACTCTATAACAGCTTTTCCTATCAAAATTGTTCCCGTTCAGAGTAAGCAGTTAGGGATTGAAAATAAAGAAAACGTGTTCATTTTCAAACACCTCACACCTTATCATAAACATCATTAAAGAGCAGTCATTTTTCAAAAGTTGGGTGACTGAGCTGTGACTCCTCTACAGACGACGTAGAGTGAAAGGCTCTTTGGAAAGACCATACAGTCACCCTCTCTCCAGCTCCAGCACCAGCACCAGTTTTACACATGGGGACCAGGACTTCAGGACAATAGAGGGGACGGTGACCTGATCAGGATATCCAAGGGGCATCTAGTGGCAGGTCTGGGAGGAGGACTTAAGTCTCCTAATTTCTAGGCTTGACCCAGCCTCCAACCCCAGTGCTCTGTCACCCAGCAGCCCCTACGGTGTCAGCTTGTGTTCTTTTCATAAAAGTCCATGGTGTGTTTTGTTTCAGGATTTTCTATTTTCTGGGAATCCTTTCCCTGGGACTGTTGTTTTTGGTTCCATCTGAGTTCAGGCTCTCTCAGTTTAGAGCCTGGTTTTATCAGTGTGCCATCACCCATAGCTGGGATTGGCTGGACTTGGGGCTGACGGCTGGGTAGGTGTCGTTTCCTTCCTCTTCTGCGGAACACTTTTTACTCAGTTTGGCAACAGCCAAACCAGCAAGCGGCTTCTGACGAGGCTCTGAGACTTGCTCACCTTTCCTTCCTCCTCCCAGCCCCGTCTCCTTCCTCCTGCCCCGTGTTAACCAACACCCTGACGTTTGTGTTTATCGTTTCCTTGCATTTATAGCTTTACCGTATGTTTGTGTTCCTGCAGAACATTCTTTAGTGTTTAACCTGCCTTTGCGCTTTATATAAATGCAGTCAGACTTCTGGGTGTTCCTCCGTGCCATCGTGAATAACTGTTCATTTCATTCGTTTGCCTTCTCTCGTGTTAATTGTTTTTTTCTCTTCTCAGATTTTACTTGTTTATTTTGTACTATAGAAAATTTTCCAAATGCACTGAAAACGTGAGAGTCCAGGACAGTGACTTCCCATATACTCATCCCCCAGTTACAACAGCTCTCAGGTTCTTTTTCCATAATTGTTTCCTTATTTCCTCCCTTTATATTTTTCCTTTACTATTTTAAAGGAAATCTCATATATCCTATGATTTTTGTCCAATATCTGTTGCTTTACCTCCTCCTAGGGCTGATATTTCAGCAAACTGGAAAGAAAGGAAAGTGCAGCAGAGCCCTAGGGCCATGGTCCGCGGTTGAAATGATAAGGTCCCCTCTCCTGTGTATAGCTGCTCCTAAACCACAGGCCCCTGCAAGCCAGAGAGAAGTTCCTTGGCCTCCGAACGAGACAGGGCTGCTTCAGGGCCTGGCAGGTTAGAAAACAGCCTCGGCTTGCCCACCCGAGCTATGCTTGGCTCTGCTGCCCATTCAAGAAGCAGTGACTGCATGTCAGGATGTGCGTCCAAGGTAACCACAGGGCTTGACGAGCCTCAGGGTGAATGCTGAACAAATGAGCCTTCTCCTGGGGTAAGAGGTTAGTGTCTCGGATTATGAGTACCAGCGTGGACCTCGTGCTCAGGCTCACCTCTTTCACAGTTGAGGGATCCAAGGAACATGTGGGCAGCGTTCCTTCTTGCACTGAGTACATAGTCATTTGAGGTCCCAGCTTTACACGTTTCTGAGGGGGGTTTCTGTTAGACTCCCCATCTTACGTCTTACCCCAGAGTCCTTCTAGTCTGTGTCAACCAAAGCTTGAGCCCCCCTGCTTGAGCAAACATCCTTCTGGCAAATCCCAGCCTCAGTAGAGTCCACCGTACTGTTCCCGAGTCCTGCTTTCTAGGTTTGGCTTTCTTCTTTTCTTGCCAGCATATTGACTCATTAAAAAAATATGTTTAAAAATAATTTCATCAAGGATTTTTAGTTGTTCTCAGCAGGAGGAAACCTATTTTGCCTATCACCAGAAACAAGTGCTAGTGTTAGGAGTTGGTTTTTTATTCTTACAAGTAAACATTTAATAAGAACTTTTTTCCCCAAAGTTGCAAGGATAAAATAACTTAATGTTAAATATTGTTCCATTACTTTTACATGATTAGAAAGGTAGCTTTTAAGTTTTGTGACCACGTATTCCAGGGAGTGGGAAAGACTCAGGCAGTCTTTGCTGTCTCGGTAAATTTAAGGCATTTTCTGTTTGCAGGATTAATTACTCCAGAAGATCGGAAATATGGAACGACAAATCTTCACTTAGATGTATCTGATGCGGCTAATGTCATGGTCTATGTGGGAATTCCCAAAGGACAGTGTGACCAAGAAGAAGGTAGGGTGCTGAGCACAAAAGTGGGGCTTATTCTCTGAGCTGGGACGTTGTGGTCTGATGTTTGCTCTCTCTTGCTCCAGAAGTCCTTAAGACCATCCAAGACGGAGATTCTGATGAACTCACGATAAAGCGATTTATTGAAGGAAAAGAGAAGCCAGGAGCCCTCTGGCACATATATGCTGCTAAGGACACAGAGAAGATACGAGAATTTCTTAAAAAGGTGTGCTCCTTACCCTATGGCACGTAAAGAGAGAGATGTAGAATAGCAGTGTTACACTACATGTCGAGACCTGACTGGGTTACTGGAGAATAACCGCAGCTTCAAAAGTTAGATCTGTGCATCTCAGATTGGATAGGCTGAAGCTGGTTGCTAAGGAACAACGATTTCTAGATGAGCAGGCTCACACCTCTGAAAAGAGGGAAACTTATCTTTTTTCTTATGTCTGTGTGTTATGTCATAGTGCATTTGGAGGTCTTTGTGCTCTCCCTTCAAGGTAGTTCCTCTGATGATCACGTCGTGTCTATTTGTTTTTATTGCCTTAAAAATCTAAGCACTTCAGAAGTCCACGTATCATTTCTTTGCTCTTGATAGCTGTGTTCCAAGTGAGTTACTAAGGCCCCTGTTGGTTTTATCCACCCTCGTTTAGTAGTAGGTCAGGAAGACCTCACACCCTACTGTGGCCATTAGCTTATGCGGGAAAGGGATACAGGGACTTTGAAGATTCCAGGTTTCCAGCAGTTAGCAGGTTGTTCAGCAAGGGTTCTGTGTGGAAGTTCTAGGCAACTGGAAGGATGGGCATATTCAGTTTTTAACCTGTTCGCCACTGAGGCTGCTAGTTGCGGCCCAGATATTTGTGGCTGGTATTCTTCAGTTGTTCATGAGGAGTGGATAGGAACGCTCCTAGCCTGCTGCCTGGTGCCAGGTTAGACCCTTAACCAGCATTTGCTTCAATCAAGATGTTTCTCGCTAAGGATAATTTGACTCTTCCAGAAACCTGCCGGTCGCCATACTGTCCCTTTGATAGCGTCACCCTGCGTCTGTGCTGCCAGATACTGGGTCTAGAGTGAACGAGGTTAACCTGCAGCCAGCTGTGGGGCGCGCTTCATAACTCAAGTTGTCAAGTGAATACAGACGTTTAAGAACTGCAGTGTAGCAAGTCTATTTCTAAGGAGCTTAAGTCTACTGACATTCAAAAGCCTAGGCCAAAATACTGTCCCGACACAGTGTTTACAAAAATATGCAGACTGCCACTCACGGTTTACAGGAAGTGACAGAAGGGAACGAACCCACATTTTCTTTCAGTCTCCCCTTGGGTCATTCAGTTAATGTCTTTGAGTGCTATTTTCTCTTTCTGCCAACAGGGACACGTGTTAAAGAAGGCCTGACATTTACTGACTGACTGCCCACACTGTCCGGGGGCAAAATGCCCTCACGGAGACCCAGCATGTCACTCAGTTTCATAATACTTGGAATGTGTTCTAGGTATCAGAAGAGCAAGGTCAAGAAAACCCCGCAGACCACGATCCCATTCATGATCAGAGCTGGTATTTAGACCGATCACTAAGGAAGCGTCTTCATCAAGAGTATGGAGTTCAGGGCTGGGCCATCGTGCAGTTTCTTGGAGATGTGGTATTTATCCCAGCAGGAGCTCCACATCAGGCAAGAACCATTACTTTAGTCTTTATTCTCCTTACACTGTAAACTTCGGCATGTGTGACTGTGTGGCTTGTTGTCTTCCAGGTTCATAACTTATACAGCTGTATCAAAGTGGCTGAAGATTTTGTTTCTCCAGAGCATGTTAAACACTGCTTCTGGCTTACTCAGGAATTCCGCTATCTGTCACAGACTCATACAAATCATGAAGATAAATTACAGGTAAAAATGGCCGTGATTCCTGGCATTCTCTGACTCTGGCTCCGTAGCTCCTTACCGACCCTATAAAAATAATCAGCAAACTTGGCCATGCCACCACACCTGGTACAGTGGGTTGATGAACTGGCTCTATGTCTAGTCCTGCTACCTACTTAGGCAAAGGAGGAATAAACATGGAGGAAATCTAACTTTGGTTTAGAGGCTTTCAGTAGTGAATCATCTAACATATGATTCCATGTTTGGAAAACTAGGGAAATAGATAAACTCTGAAAAATAGAGCTGTACCTTGGGGCTTGCTTGTGTCTGCACTCACTGGGGGCAGGGCCACGTAGGATCAAAGCCTCTGGAAGGGGGAAAATGAGCTTTTAAGTTCTTCAAAGGAGGCATGGGTTTAAAATGTGTATAAAATAACAGCCTAAAGGAGCCCAGGGGCCTTTCAAGTATTATAATAACATTTCATATTGAATTTTGAGTTTTAAATTTCAAGAGCATGGTATAAAATTGGTAGGGGGAAGGTTTATTCTTACGGACAGATTTTAGATCTCATGGTAAACTGACCATATTTTCTCTCGTTTTTTCAGGTGAAGAATGTTATCTACCATGCAGTGAAAGATGCGGTTGCTATGCTGAAAGCCAGTGAATCCAGTTTTGGCAAACCCTGAGGGTCCCAGAGGCGCCTTACCCCTGCACATTGGAAGTGAATTACTGGCAGCTGTTCAAACTCTTCAGGCAGGAATCCTGTGGACTTTGAGACTCATGTTACCTCATCTTCTTTTTTAAACTGTACCCACCTGGTAAGGGTACTCTGTCTAATGTATATTTCTAGTGTTTACAGACACTAAATGTGTATATGTAGTAACTATTTACAGAACATGCATCCTTAAACTGTGACTTCTCACCTAGTGCAGAGCTTCTACCCAGCTGTAAAAACAGAACCCCGTATCAGCTCTGGAACAAGACCTGCAGTTACTCCCCAGCTGTGTGGTTGGACAGCTCAGTCAAATGGGTTATAACTCTTAGGAATCACCGCGCAGTTTATTTGGGTTGTGTTTTGTTGTGTCTGAGTACCCTCTCCCCGACTCCTTAGGGTTCAGAAGGGCAGTGGAGGAAGCGACCACCGACGTTTGGATGTTGTATTGCCTTAGGACTGGCATTATATAGCAGAGGTCAACTACTGCACCATTCTTGGGGTTAACCATCTTTAGTTAAACGGAGTTTTAATTTAAATGAAGCTTTGCTAATTTTAAGTGTTAAGCATTTTGCATTAAAGTATTCATATAATGTTTTGACTCTGTTTATTGGCATTATTCTCTGGTTGCAGAGTCAACACACACTTCATCAGTGTTACAGGTGTAAGAAAGAGTTTGCGCCAGGAACTCATCTTAAAAGCACAGAAATTTGATGCTCTATTGATTTCTGAGTGGTTATTACAATGCTAACATGGAAACAAGCTTCTCCCCAGCCAAGTTGAAACTCCTGTCACACTTTCGTAAAGAAACACCACTGATTAACTACCTTTAGAAGTGACAATTAACCAAAAAACCAAATAGTGACGGGTTAAATGGTTCTGAAAAGGTAAGAGATCAAAATTCTTTGTCTCTCTTCTGACCCATTATAGTTTAAGAGTTTACAAAGGAAAATGAAATTATTTATTAGAAGTTTTAGAACAGTAGTATCTAAAATAATCATCTCTATGAAGGAAGAAAATAAAGAAGCCACTTTCCTATAGCTCATTGATTCTCCTAGACAGCTGTAGCTGTACTAAAAGGAATTAAATTGAAATCAAGTCACGTAGACAAAGGCCTAGAGCCTGGATTTTTACCTGTGAGCTCAGAGTAGGAGATCGAAGATCCCCGCCTAACGTCAGCCCACTTCAAACCAAAATCTTTCATGGATGAACTTTCAAAAACAAAGTTTTCTGAAAAGAATAAGTAGAAATATCTACCTATCTTAGTGGGAAACATCTTCCCTGGGAATTTCTTACCAGAAGCTTCTTTATACAGTTTTGGATCTAGAATTGGCACTGTTGATTAGAAATCTCCAATAGGCAAAAGAAGAGGAAAACTTGCATTCTCTATAGAGAAAATCACCTTCAAGCCAGGCCTCGAAGGAGTCCCACAGATAGTTCCAAGGACTGTTATTCACAATCAAATGCACTGTATCCACAAATATGAAAACTGAAAGCTACCACGAGCAAGAGTCAATGCAAACCTGAAGCTGCCATATTAAACGTGCAGAGTTTGTAGGTTCTGGAATGATCCAGCACTTATTTTATATTCTGAAGTGTTTAGTATGTTTGAAGAAATGAGAGTATAGGAGTATGATGAAAGAATGAGATTGCCAGAAATGACCAGATTTGGAAAGAAGCTGAATAGAACTTAACAGAAATGAGACATGATGGTTAAAATTAGAAATTCAGCACATGAGTTAAGTGGCAGAAAAAAGTTCTTTTACAAACTGAAAGATTGGTAAAAATAACACAAGACAGCACTGAGTAACAGGAAACTGTAAAGAAGTGTTAACTTACAAGGCGGACACGGAAAAGTATAGGTTTGACCATCAGTGACAGAGAATTAAGAGACTGGTGAGGGAGGGTGACATTCTGAGACTGAAATTTTTCCAGTACTGACATGTCAGATTGAAGAAGCCTAACTAAATCAAGCAAGATGAATAAAATAGCCACACCTGTGCCCAAAACAAATAGGTTCTTAAAAGTACCCAGAGGGCTTCCCTGGTGGCGCAGTGGTTGAGAGTCCGCCTGCCGATGCAGGGGACACGGGTTCGTGCCCCGGTCCGGGAAGATCCCACATGCCGCGGAGCGGCTGGGCCCGTGGGCCATGGCCGCTGAGCCTGCGCGCCTCGGGACCGTGCGCTCAAAAAGGAGAGAAAACAAAACAGAGAGACCCCCGAACAGCAAAAAAAAAAAAAAAAAAAGGACCCAGAATGGGGAAAAACATTGTAAACCTTCAAAGAGGTGACAGACTTAACAGCTGACTTCTTAACAACAACAGGGGGAGTCAAGAAAGTAGATGCCACTCTTACTGTGCCAGAGAACATGCCTGAAAATAAGTCTAGACACAGCAAAATGATTTTTCCCTGTTCTTACTGACATTTTCAGATAAAAGCCAGAGTTTCTCTTCAGGCCCTTGCTGAAGGAACTTTTCAGAATATCCTTAGGATTAAAAAAAATAAGAAGAAAAAGAAAAAAAGAATATCCTTAGGAAAAAAAGTAACCCACATCATGATGCAAGAAAAAACGGTGTACAATGGAAACTGTAAATTCATGGATAATCTTAAGCAACAGTGGAACAATATTTTTAGAAGTCTGGATAAAGTTCCTCTAAAAGTTAAACATAGAATTAACGCATGATCCAGCAATTCCACTGCTATGTTTATACTCAAAAGAATTGAAAGCAAGGATTCAAGCAGGTACTTGTAGACTCATGTTCATAGCAGCATTATTCACAAGAGCCAAGAAGTGGAAACAACCCAATAGATGAACAGATAAACAATGTGGCATATCTATACAGTGGAATATTTCTCAGTCTCTTAAAAAGGAAAGAAATTCTGACACAGGCTACAACATGGATGAGTCTTGAAAATACACTAAGTGAAATATGGCAGACACACAAAAGGACAGATATTGTATGATTCCACTTATATGCGGGACAGTCATGTTCCTAGAGTAGAGACAGGAAGTAGAATGATGGTCACTGGGGCTGAGAGCAAGGGGGACCGGCAGTTACTGTTTAACGGTTACAGACTTTCTGTTTGGGATGATGTTGTACAACATTGTAAATGTCCTTACTGCCACTGAACTGTACACTTAAAAATGATTAAAATGGTCAATTTTGTGTTACGTGTATTTTAACCAAAATAAAAATTAACTCCAAGTAGGAAAAGCTTTTGGAGTTGAATGAGAAAATGACATCCTTATTGTTTTAATTGATTAACAAGGTAGGAAAGAAGGAAGAAGTGGGACTTTTCTAAATGCAAGTTTCCCCCACTATTCAGAAGTATTGAAAGTAGAGGTTTCCTCTGAAACCTTTCGTGAGCGTAGAAGCAGGTACCTTAGGACACATCTTGCTAATGGATGCACAAAATAAATAGACATAAAGCACAGATGCTCACAGACACAGTTCAAAGCTATGGCGCCTTGATGTTGAGTGTAGTTTCCTGGGAAGGAGCTTGGCAGTGCCGCTCTCACTGCTCAGGATGCATGCTGCCTCTGTAACACCTCTCTGCAAAACAAACGCTGAATGCTGTTTGCGCATTTTGCCTTTTTTTTTGGTAAAAGCAAAAATCCTCTTCAGATTTCTTTCAGTTAGCAAAAACAGGTACTAATGTAGGTATTTCGTAAAAGTGAAGTAGTGTAAAGCGAACTTTCAACAAGTGGACGATACTTGTGCTCCAGTTGCAAGATAAAGATGGTCTGACTAGATTAAGTAAAAGACTTGACTCTATACTACTTACAAGAGATACAGTTTGTAGGTTAGAAGTAAAAGCACGGAAGAAGTTATATCGTGCAAACACTAACTGTATGAAAGCACACACGGCTCTATTAATACCAAAGTGATTTTAAGATAGGGTTTTACCAGAGAGAAGTTGTTTTCACAATCATGAAAGGATTCGTTCAGCAGGAAGATACAATAATCCTAAGTATAACAGAACTTCAAAGTAAGATGAAGCAAAATTGGACAAAATTAAAGGAGAAAACAAGTTCACAATTACAGCTGAAGATTCCCACCCACCTCTTTCTGTAATTGATACAATAAACATATAAAACCAATACAAATATAAAATATTTGAACCTATCAGACAAATGGACCCTTATTAGAACACTAAAGCCAGTGGCTGCAAAATACACATTCATTTCAAGCGCACGTTGCTTATTCAAGAACAACCATACACTGCCTCAAAACAAAGGTAACTACGAAATTCTCAAATGTCGAGAAATTAAGCAACATACTTCTAAGTAACCCACTGATCAAGAAAAAATCAGAATGGAAATGAGATACTTGGAACAGAATAATAAAGATACAACCATTCAAAAGTGGTGGAATTCAGTTTACAGCAGTGCTTAGATGGGAATGTATAGCTTTAAATGTATGTGTACGGGACTTCCCTGGTGGTCCAGTGGCTAAGACTCTGTGCTCCCAATGCAGGGGGCCTGGGTTCCATCCCTCGTCAGGGAACTCGATCCCACATGCTGCAACTAAAGATCCTGCACACCGCAACAAAGATCCTGCCGGGCCACAACTAAGACCTGGCACAGCCAAATAAATAAATAAATAATTTTTAAAAATGTATGTGAAGTAATGTTTCTTTCTAAAATGATTAGTAGAAGCCCTTCATCAATGAAAACGTGCAGTAGGATTTTTAACACAGGATTCAGTTTTTTCAACAGATCTAAGACTATTCAGATTTTCCTTTTTTATTTTTTACTGTATGTTTTATGTTAGCTATGGCCTTGTCATATATGACACCATATATATTCAGGTGTGTTCCCTCTATATTCACTTTGTTGAGAGTTTTTATTAGAAATGGATATTGATAGCTCCCCGTCAGCCACATGATCCTGAGGGTAAACAACCAATACTCTTCAGTGTACTGTATTGCTTGCATTTTTTACAGACTGTGGTTTGTGTTTTCACATCCTGAAATGTCTGCAAAACGCCCATCTGCATCTGCTGCTTCTAGTAGGAAGAAGAGGAAGGCAATTACTCTTGAGATAAAACTCAAGGTAATTGCCCAGCACGAAGGTGGCAAGCCAGTAATGATCATCGCCCATGAGTTAGGAATTTTCCATTGATGGTAAAGATCTTAAAGAATAAGAAGTGAATCAATGATGCAGTGAAACAGCATCAATTAAATACACCACCATCACGAAGAAAAGAGCTGGGCTAATTGATGATATTGAAAAATTACTTGTCACATGATAGACCAGATACAGAAACGTGCACCACTTAGCTGGCTGATGACCCAGGCTAAGGCAAGCAGTCTTTTCGATTCACTCTTTATACACAAGTGTTTACAGCAAGTCATGGGAGGTTTCAATGCTTCAAAAGCATCATAATTTTCATAATGTGAAATTAAGCAGTGAGGCAGCAAGTGCCGATGCTAAAGGTGTTGAAGCTCTTAAGGAAGAACTATATAGGACGACTGTGGGTGAGAAGTATTTGCTGGAACAGAAAGTTAATATTGATGAAACAAGCTTGTTCTAGGACTATATGCCAGAACATACATACATTCATGAAGAGTCCAAGACAATGTCAGGCATTCAGAG